CCGCATTCTCCCTGTGGCCAGAAAACTTTCTTGGGCTTTCCACGGAGTCTGCTCTGAAAGGCTGGCCGCCTCCTTGGTGCTTGCCCTCATTCCAGCCTCCCTCTACCCGTCTAAGCTGGAAGGGGCCCCTGCCGCCCTGTGACTGTCGGGCCTCTTCCTTCTTCCCCTTCCTGTGTCCTAGCATCTTCTGCCTTTTGTCCCTTGTCGCTGTTTATGCTGCAGTCTTGTTTCCCCATCGGACTTGCAGAGTCCGGCGGTGAGCCCTCTGGTCATTTGTGTCTGCCTTACGTGTTACGTGCCTCCCGCCCAGTGGACACTCGGCAGGGTTGGGACTGAGTAAGTGCCGTGTCCTCCAGGGGTCTGATGAAACATCCTTCTCCCTGGGATTCGCCCTACTTCTCCAGGTCGTGGTCAAGTCTTACGTTCTCACACCCAAATCTCAGTCTTTGCAGAGCACCTCTCCCATGGTTTCCAACTGCACTCCTTTGCACCCCTGCGCCGTGCTCTCCATCCTCCCGTGGATGGCCAGCTGTTGGGCGCAGCAGTTCAGGGTTGAGCTGGGAATCCAGACAAAGCATTCTATTTGGGGTCTCTATTCTGGTACAGTCCTGACTTTGGGAAAGCCACATTGTCCCTTCCTGCCTTCCTGCCCTTGTCCCTCATCCTTACAGTGGGACGTGTGACAAAATGTCTCTTTGATTCGAGTCCCTGGAATTATTCTGTGGGCAGGTGTGTGCGTGTTACTGCACACGTGTGGGGGTCTTCGTGATCTCTGTTGATTGCAATTAGACAGGGAGGCCTGGGTTTTGTCATGGTTGCCATGGTTGGAGTGGTGACCCTTAAAATTCCATGAAGTTGAACTCCTTTTAATATGCAGATGGGTGTGCTAAGCTTTTCAGCGAAGAGAAGCTGAGGCAGGGTGAGGGTGGTGTGTGGAGTTGTGGGAAGCTGTGGTGGGGGGGTTATTTTTGAAAACACACACTCCCTGTTTCTAAAGGCAGGAACACAAGGGCATGAAGAAGACTGTGTGTACTGCAGAAAAATTCTTGCCAAGGAACACAGAGACCTGGCCCTCAGGGAATCCTGGGCTTAGGTAGAGGGACACTTCCTGGGGGATGAGAGGGGAGCCTCAGCCTGTGGGTTTGGGTGGTGGCTGTGCCCTCTGCCCCCTCTTCCCCCAGGCACATTTTCTACATTAGGTGAGTAATGGTGGGACAGGTCGTTCTTTCCTATAACAATGTAAACCTCCCTCCCCACACAAAGTAAAAATAGACTGAATGCCATCCCATGGACAGACCTGCTGCAGCCCCATCCAGGTTATGCGGCCCCTCCTCCCGCTCCCCTACTGTGCCTGCCACCACCACCCCTACCCCATCTGCCTTTCCTCATTAGTGCTCTGGGGAAGAAAGAAAGGGCAAGGATTCCTAGGGCTCTTGGCCTGGTTGGTTGAGGAGGGAGTTGAATGGGCCAGTCTTAGACATTAAACCTTCACCATGCTCGGTTAGTCATGGCCTGCTCCTCTGCCTGAGACTTGCACCTCTTTGTCATTTGTCACCCCAAGTGTTTCCTTATACCCTGAGCAAGTTTTATCATATACTTGAACTGCAAATAAAGTTGCCACCAGAAATGAAGAGGAGGAGTAAGAGGCCAAGGCTACAGGCCTCACTGTTGTGTAGGGATCCTCCTCTTGTGTTGACTTGGGTCATGGTTGCCAGGAAAAGATCCTGCAACAGTCCTGATTGTTCTGTTCTGTTTTCTTTCCCCCCTCCCTCTCTCCCTCCTTCCCTCCCTTCCTTCCTTCCTTTCTTTGATTTATTTTAATTGGAAGGCAGAGAGAGAGAGAGCAAGCGAGCGAGCGAGTGCTCTTCCATCTTCTAGTTCACTCCCCAAATGTTTGCAACAACCAGATCTGGGCCAGCCTGGAGTCAGGAGCCAGGAACTCCCTCTGGGTCTCCCTTATGGGTGTCAGAGACCCAAGGACTTGGGCCATCTTCCACTGCTTTCCCAGGTGCATTTGCAGGGAGGTGGGTCAGAAGCCGAGCAGCTGGGACTGGAACCAGCACTCTGACAGGGTGCGTGCAGCAGCTTAGCCTGCTCGTGGGCCCCTGGCAACTCTAGTTTGCTATGGAAGTCCATCAGTGAACTCTTCCAGACGCATGCAGCAGGGGAGATGGGACTCGAATCTGGGTAGGCAGGTGGAAGGGACTGTTGGGATACTGCCTTCCTGAATCTATAGGAAGCGGAGGCTCCAGAGAAAAGCAGTTTTCCCAGAGTCCCAGCATCGATGGCATGCATCCCTCACATCAGAATTCAGGTCCCGGACTCTCAGTTGCGAGGGTCCAGAGCCCTATCAGTCATTAGCTGTGTAGCACAGGGCCAGTTTCCTCATTTGATGAACAGTACTGTTTCTCTCAGCCATACACATTCATTAAAACCATGCATCTGAGAGCTCTCATTAAATACTTTCTTATGTAACACGTTCCTATATTAACGTTCCACTTACATGCCTGTAATTTTCCATCTCCCTTGTAGTAGGATTTCCCTCTAGGAAGTTTTTAATAGTTTCCTTGAACAAAAACTGAGGAGCATTTTTGAGGGATTGGTATGCAAGTGATGACAGCATTCTCTGAGATTCCTAGATGAAAGTGATAATGCATGTAGACAGTGGTCTTATGGACTAATATTTATCAAAATAGGAACCTTCAGGAGTAGGACTATCATGCTAACGAACTCCAGTGTTTGGATGCCGACTTGGGTGTGTTACCATAAGTGCTATGGAGGCCATCTCCAAGGAAAACTGTAACAGGAAGTAAGCAATTTCCTTTTAGTCACTGCAAAATGAAGGGGTGTATTAGTTTGCTGATGCACATGAAAGAATATTCTAACTTATAGTACCCCTGAATTGACATCAGCTTCCTAAATTTAAAATGCTGACTGAACATGTGTGTGTGAGGGGGTGGAAAGCAAAAAACAAAACAAAAAAAATGTTACTTCCGCCTGCTTTGTTAATCACAAAGAATAAATAATAACATTTGGCTCTCTAGTGATTTCAAGGCTGTAATTCACCCTGGAAGCTCCCCCGCTGTTTTAGAAACAACTTGTTCTAGGTTCTGGTAGCCCAGTCTTGGATCCTCTGCTTATCATCATCACCCAAAGTAGCCTTTTCCCTAAGCCTCTGTTTGAGCCCTCATTATTTACCGGAGTGGCCTTAGGAGAATTGTTTATGGAACACACCTCAAACCCTGGTTACTCTTGATTTTTTTTAAATTAATTTATTTATTTGAGGCAGAGTTACAGACAGAGGGAGAGGCAGAGAGAAAGGTCTTCTCTCCACTGGTTCACTCCCCACATGGCCACGACAGCCGGAGCTGGGCCCATCTGAAACCAGGAGCCAGGGACTTCCTCCAGGTAGTATTTAGGACATCTTCCACTGCTTTCCCAGGACATTAGCAGAGAGCTGGTTTGGAAGTAGAGCAGCCAGGACTTGAACTGGCGCTGCAGGGGGCAATTTAAGCTGTTATGCCACAGTGCTGGCCCCTTGCCTTGGAATTTTACCAGCAGTTGAATTCATCAGGTAGTTTTTTGAGCACTTACTGTATGCTGCTTGGGATATGGGGGTATAGGAGTGACGAGAAGACTGCCTTCAAGCCCCTGACATTCTAGAGTTTGCTGAGAGGCGGAAGCAGGCAGTAATAATGCAACTAGGGTGGGTTTCTTTCTGCCTCTCCTCTGTCACCGTTCACTGTGCAGAGCCTTGTTGTGGGTGACAAGGCCACCACAGTCTGATTCCATCTCTGTCACTAGGCAGCAAGTGAGCAAATCACTTAGGGCGTCTCATTCTGTATTTTGTGAGGTTGACGCAAAAATGTGTTGGTGTGTGCCTCCAAGAGATCCCCTTACTTACAGAGCAGTTGGTCACGCGTGGTATCCAGCTGCCCTGCGGGGACCCTTGGTCTCCCTCAGGGTTCGGGATGTAGTTGGGTTGCTCATTTGGGCTCATGTCCAGTTGTCCCCACTCCCCGAGGCCGTTCCCTGGTGGGATTGCTGGGTAGCTGTAGGGTGTGAATGATGGGATGTTGTCTGCTGAAACTGGAGGACCAGAATTTCCACCCCTCAGGTCCACGGTTGCCTCTGATTGGGTAGTCATAGACAACTGCTCTCGAGGGTCCTTGACCAGAGTGAGCCTGTGACAGATTCCTGACCTTAGCTATCCAAGTGGTCTCTGATTCCGTTAATTAGCTGGCAGGAGAATCCTATCTTAAACTGTCCTGGTCACTTGTAGTGCAGTGAAGAGGGTGGGAAAACCACGCTAAATAAGAATGCCCACTTATTGGCCCAGGGATCCAGCTGTGTCTTTTGCACACCGCCGTGTTTAAATCTCTGCAGGAAAAGTGTTAAGTAACTTAGCTGGGAATTGCATATGTGACTATCTCAGCCCATGGTTGTCGGATTGTGATAGCCTCTGCTTGTCCCAGACTTCTCTTGAGCTCTCAGTGTCTGAAGTTATATTTTCCCCTCTTAGCTATCCAGGCTGCTTGGTAGAGGTTTGAGTGTCCATTCGCTTCTGAAAGTGAATCTTGGATGGACACTTTTGGAAAGGTTTTCTGTTTTAATGGTTGGGGGGGGGGGGTTAATGACTTGTAATGACCCAAGCCACTGAGTAACGGTGAGCGTCTGTTGACTTCAGTAATAAATTTCAGACTTGTTTAAAATTCTGCTTCTGTGTTAAATTTGAGTTTCTCCAGCGAGGCTTTTTGTATCTGAGATGATTTATATCTTTCTGGGGAATCATTTAGAATGTGTGTTTTTTAAACAAGTGGTCTTCATAAAGACGAGGGTGAACAGATATATTTCACACTCACTCAAACATCTGGACTAGACAGGCAGTTCTGTTTGATGTTTGTTACAGAAATGGCACCATCCAATGCTAACAACTGTTTTATCCTAATCTTAACATCATGTTTAAAACATTCCCTTCTTTTGTCTGCTTTCCAACTTAGTATCACTCTGCTGGCTGGCAGAGACCGGAGAAGTAGATGTCCACGCCCACAGACCCTGGTGCCATGCCCCATCCAGGGCCCTCACCGGGGCCCGGACCCTCCCCTGGACCAATTCTTGGACCTAGTCCCGGCCCAGGACCATCCCCAGGCTCCGTCCACAGCATGATGGGGCCAAGTCCTGGACCTCCGAGCGTCTCACATCCGATGCCGACAATGGGGTCTGCGGACTTCCCCCAGGAGGGCATGCATCAGATGCATAAGGTAAGAGTTATTCTCGGGTTTGGTCCTGCCTTTTGAGTCATGGGTGGCTAACCATCGTGATAACTCCTTTCCCTTGTCTCTGCTGTTGCTGACAAGAGAGTCTAGCTACATCTTTGCCTTATCTTGTGTATTAGTAAAAATGTATGTTCTAAGATAATTTTATCGCCACAGAGGTTGTAGCAGTCATGAAGATCAGAAGTTGGCTTTTTAAAATACTTCCAATATTCAGCTGTGAGAGTGAGATTGTGTGATTTGTGGGTTGAAGGTATCTTGGCTTGCTAAATGAGTCTTTTTTTAAAATTTATTTTTTATTTTTTGACAGGCAGAGTGGACAGTGAGAGAGAGAGACAGAGAGAAAGGTCTTCTTTTGGTTCACCCTCCAATGGCCACCACAGCCGGTGCGCTGTGGCCGGCGCACCGCGCTGATCCGGAGCCAGGAGCCAGGTACTTCTCCTGGTCTCCCATGGGGTGCAGGGCCCAAGGACTTGGGCCATCCTCCACTGCACTCCCTGGCCACAGCAGAGAGCTGGCCTGGAAGAGGGGCAACTGAGACAGAATCCGGCGCCCCGACCGGGACTAGAACCCGGTGTGCCGGCGCCGCAAGGTGGAGGATTAGCCTAGTGAGCCGCGGCGCTGGCCTGCTAAATGAGTCTTATAGTGTCTAGATCCTGCTCTTTTCCTATCAGTGTTAAGTAACTTATATTACCCATGAATGAATCCATGGAGAAACTTTTCCCCTAAAACTGTTGACTTTCATTTTAATACATTAGACCCCCAAAAAGGAAAAGGAAAAAGATTCATTTCCTAGAGTAATCTTTAAAGGCAATATTGAAATGAGATTATTTCTCAGGAGTCCTTGAAGTGAACCTTGCTGTCTCTTTGTGAAGAACTTGATTCTGGTTTTGGAAAAAGACTGATTTTGCAGAGCTGAGGTCCGTCTGTTTGTTCCTGGACTAAGGTTATAATGATCCTTTGTTTATGCGACTGAGCTCGTTGCTGTGGGGAAGATCAGATTGGTTCGAGTTGGCAATATGCCTTTGTGAGAGGTGCAAAGGAGAGCAAACAGCCTTCTGAAAAAGTAACAAGGTCCTCCAGTGGTTTGCTTTGAAGTAAGCAGCAGCCAAAGAAAATCTGTGAGGACGGCTGTACGTTACCTGAAAGTCTTGCCTAATGAGACAGGTGAGGGTTTTGCAACCCTTTGGATGACATCACAGGTGGATGGGGGGCTGGTGGTTACAAGGCATCGGCTCACGCACTTACAGAGGCTGAGAAGTCCCACAGTCTGCAGGCAGCCAGCTGCGAAGCCAGGAGAGCTGGCGCTATAGTTCTAGGCTGAGCCCAAAGGCCTGAGACCCAAGAAAGTGTCAGGCCCGCTCTGAGGGCAGGGGAGGACCGATGGGCTAGCTTTAGAGGGCAGGCAGACAGAACATATTCTCCCATCCTCTGTCTTTTCGTTTTGGTCAGGGCTTCCATGACCTGAACTGGAGGATGCCCACTTGCAGTTGTTGGGGGGGAGGCACCTGCTTTCTTCTGTTAGTTCAAACGCTGCTCATGCTCTCATGCAGAAATACCTGCACAGACACACGAGAAATATCGTCTAAGCGAATGTCTGGGTACCCCATAGCCCAGTTATTTTCACACGTAAAATTGATTCTTATAGTAGCGGAAGATACAAGCTTGAAACGTAAATATGACCACAGGAAAGAGCAAGTGTTTCCTCTCATTATATATGGCTTTATGTCATTTTTTTTTAAGATTTGTTTATTTAGTTGAAGGGCAGGAACACAGAGAGAAAGAAGACAGAGAGAGAGAGAGAGAGAGAGAGGGAAGGTGAGAGATAGAGACAGGGAAAGAGAGAGAGAGAGAGAGAGATCCAGCTTCCATCTGCTGGTTCACCTGCCAGATGGCTACAATGACCAGGGCTGAGCAAAGCCAAATTCGGGTGCCAGAAACTTCATCTGGGTCTCCCACGCGGGTGCAGGGTACCAAGGACTTGTGCCATCTTCCACTGCATTCTTAGGCACATTAACAGGGAGCTGGACCAGAAGTAGAGCAGCGACTTAACCTTGTATACCACAGCCCCAGCCCATTTAGGTCAGTTTTAAGGCTTCAGGCATCAGAGCTCAAAAGAGGCGAGTCATTGTGGCGCAGTGGGTTAAGCTGCGACTCAGGAGTGGCTGGGATGGAGTCCCACTTCCACTTTGATCTGATGCACCTGGGAGGTAGCAGACGATGGCCCAAGAACTTGGGTCCCTGCCACCCACGTAGGAGACCTCAGTGGAGTTCTGGGCTCCTGGCATCAGCCTGGTCCAGCCCAAGCTGTTTTTTTTTTTTTTTTTTTTTTTTTTGACAGGCAGAGTGGACAGTGAGAGAGAAAGAAAGGTCATCCTTTTCCATTGGTTCACCCCACAATGGCCGCTGCGGCTGGTGCGCTGCAGCTGATGCACCACACTGATCCAAAGCCAGGAGCCAAGTACTTCCCCTGGTCTCCCATGTGGGTGCAGGGCCCAACCACTTGGGCCATCCTCCACTGCACTCCCGGGCTATAGCCAAGAGCTGGACTGGAAGAGGAGCAACCGGGACAGAATCCAGCGCCCCGACCAGGACTTGAACCCGGTGTGTCGGCGCTGCAGGTGGAGGATTAGCCTATTGAGCCGCGGTGCCGGCCCTCCAAGCTGTTTTGGACCTTTGGGGAGTGAGCCAGTGGATCTCTTTGTCTCTCCCTGTCTGTTGTTGCAATTTTCAAATCAGTGAATGAATCAGTCTCTTCCTCTCTGTCATTCAAAACTTTTGATAAATTAATAAATAAAGCATTCTTTAAAAATGGGCAAAGGACTTAGAATAGACTTCTAAATAGATTTCTCCAAATATAGATACAAACGGACAATAAACACATGAAAAGTAGTTCATCAGCCATTAAAAAAAAAACTCAAAAACACAATGAGATGCCACCTTTGACCCATTAGGGAATGAAAATGGCGAAATGCTGAAGGGAGTGGGGAGAAATCCTACCCTTCATGCACTGTTGGTAGGAAAGTAAAATTGTGTGGCTTCCAAAAAAGCGGGGGGGGGATTTTCTAATTAGGAAACCAGTATATGCTTATGTTGAAAAGTAAGAAAAGCACTAGGAAAGTAGTTAATCCTAGCTGCACTCACGTATACGAGCTTGTTGTACTTGCATTTCATAGCTGACTTTTCTCGTGTTCAATAAAAATGCTCCTTTCACACAGGTGTGCGTGCGCGTGCAGGCGGTTTGTTTTCTGTCCTTGGTGTGCCCTGTTAGAATCGTTCTGTCTCGGCTGAAGAGTATGGGCCTGGCTCTTCTCAGTCGGCAGTAGCTAATGTGTCTCTCTGTGGTAGAAATCCTAAGTTCTCTCCCTCCCTTTTACATAAAAATCCACTCTGATGTGTCAGTTGGGTGGAGAAACAAAGCTGCTTGCTTTCCACATCATGTTTTTGGGGACATAGTGGAGATGCTGACAGATTACCTTGTGTTGAGGTTAAATCCATTTGGGAGCTGCATGCTAGAGCTGACCTGTCATGTCTAAACCTTCATCCGAGTGGGTGGACCTCATTTTTGGGAAGGGTTTGAGGATGTTCCCCTCTTTAAAATGAAAGAGAACATTTGAAGGAAATGTTTAGTTAGCCCTTGTTATCATTTAAACGTTGAAAATCCAAAGGGCAAATGAGAGTTGGTGCAGTGTGTGTGTGTGTGTGTGTGTGTGTGTTTTCTAAGCTGTTTGAGTGGAGTTTTGGTCTCTTCTAACCTCCTGCTTTCTCCCCCGCCCCTGGGATCGCATCGCCTCCTCCCTGTTCAATGCTCCGTGTTGTCATGCTGTCCCTCTGGAGTTGTGTGGGTGGCGCTGCTGGCCCTCTTGCCTTTCCTCGCGCCCTGACCCTCCCTGCACGAAGACCTGGGGGAGCACTCAGGGTTCACACCTGCCGACCAGATGCCTCCACTTCCCTGCCTCTCTTTTCCAGGCAGCTGGATTCCTTGTCTTGCCCCTCCTTCTCCTGAGCTTCAACTGTTTGCTTTTCAACATGACTGGAAATAAATAAACAAGTGGCCTAAATACATCTGCTGTGTTGCTTTGATTTCCACTCCATTATTACTGTTTAACAGACTCAAGTGTCACTCTTTCTACCAGATTCTTCCCATTTTTCTTCTGAACATCCTCTTTATGGTAAATTTTTCTTCTTTTCAACTGCATGCTTTTGACTCTGCAGAAATTAACTTTCTTTTCTCCAAAACTGCAAACACTCATACTTTCTTGCTTGAAATCATTTGGTTTCTATAAACTCCTGGAAATATTCCTTTCAGGCTGCTTTGAAAATTGCTATTCCAGTTCAGGGGGAGGAATAGGCTTTGCCTTGTTCAGACACATGCTCCGTTGCCCAATTCTGGATTGGATTAACGTCAATTCAATAGCTATTGATTGTGTGTCTGTCATCTACTGGGTCTCAAATCCTGGGGCTGCCCCTCGTGTTCATCGTTTTTTTCCAGACTGTGCCTTGAACCTTTTCCGGTCTTCCTGCCTTGAACCTTTTCCGGTCTTCCTGCCTCGAGGAAGCTTTGCCTCCCCACCAGTCTTCACCCCCGTTCTCGGCTCTGCGGTTTCTGAAAGTTCCACTCTTCCCAACTGCCGTGGAACCTTCTGGTTTCGACTTATAAACTTTCCATAGTTCCTTCCCCCCCAGTGACAGAAAATCAGCTCGAAAAAGATGTTTTGAATGGTCTTCTTTCAGACTTCAAACTAAGCTTCCAGGTTATAACGGGTTTCAGGACTACTTTCTAGGGTATGGAAGCAGAGCGTGTGTTTGGCCGCTTTATTTGACTTTCTATTTAATGGCAGGTTTGGATATATCCCTTCCCGCCTTCAACTGTTTAAAGCTGTAACTTTTGATGCCAGGTAGTTTTGTTGCTCCTATTAATGTAGTATTTTTTTTTTTCTGTCCCCACCTATGAAGTGTAAAAAATACAGAGAGGGTAATAAATGTTTGTGTTACACCTTCGAGGACTTTTGGGAAGGGGTTTTGAATGCTGTTCCTTCAGCAGGTGTCTAACGGATGTCCTTTCTGTGTCTCAGCCCATCGATGGTATGCATGACAAGGGGATCGTGGAAGATATCCACTGTGGCTCCATGAAGGGCAGCAGTATGCGACCACCGCACCCGGGAATGGGCCCTCCCCAGAGTCCCATGGATCAGCACAGCCAAGGTTTGTGTCTGCAGCTGGCGTTGCTTCCATCGCTCAGCCTCGGTCTCTCTTGGTGGATATTTTAGTTTTGACTTCTGAAGAGTATGTTTCAGGAAGGTTGAATCCAGCAAGTTCCTTTTCCTTGCCGAACTCTACCCCACTTCTCACCAACTAAACTTTGGTTTATAGGGCCAGTTTTATTTCCAAAACTTCGTAATTTTACTAGCTACCGTGGGTGCAGAATGCTATAGAGAGTTTAGCTGGAGTCTTTACTGTGATCCCATAAGGTAAATGGTGTTACCCCACTTTTATAGATGGAGAAACTAAGGCTTAGAGGGCCTGCTTGTTTCCTTCCATTGAGACATCCAGTAGTGACAGAGAGGGCAGAAAGACGATCCAGGTCTGCCGCCCAGCCACAGCACAGATGTGAAGATCGGATGAACCGTTGGGTCCCTTGGATTGCACCCTTGTGCACTGTCTTCAGCTGGTGTGCTCTGGCTGTGACATCGCCTGTCATTGCTGGCGGGCACTGTGGTAGTCTCCTAGGATTGTCATATCAATTACCACAAACTGTGCGGTTGAAAAGAACAAAAATGTATTTCCCCAGAAGGGAAGACTTCTGGCTAAGAGTATTTTAGAGAAATGTATTCACAGTCATTTTCTTTTTGACGTATACATAGGCAAGTGGCGGTGGCCTAAGAGTGACTTTCTGCTAGTGCCTGGGCAGACTGAGGGACATCCCAGCCTCTGGTCTGAATGTGGTGGCACACAGGCATGCTTGCTGCAGGTGGATCAGTTCTGGAGGCCAGGGGGTCAGCGGGGCCCTGCTCTCTGTGAGGGCTTTGGGGGAAAAATCCTCTCTTCTTTCTCAGCTGTCAGTGGTTGCTGGTAATCCTTGGCGTATACAGGCTTGTGGATGCATCCCTCCAATCTCTGCATCAGTCTTCACGGTTTTTCCTGTGCGTCTGTCAATGTATTTAGGTTTCTGTATTTATAAGGACACCATTCACTGGATTAGAGCCTATCTGAATCCAGTGGACCCTCATATTAACACTGCAGATTATAGCTGCAAAGACCCTATTTTCAAGTAAGTTCATGTTCATGGGTACTGGAAGTTAGGGCTTCAGCATATTTTCTGTTGGGGAGGGAGCACAGTTCAGTTCACAACAATAGGCAAATAAATCCACTGTGTGTTTCTTTTCTTTTTTGTGTTTACATTTCTTCCTTTTCCTCACTGTTGAGTGCAGAGTAAGATATCGCAAAGCCTTTTAAATACACCGTGGCCTGATTTCAAAATCATTCTTTGGTTATCTCAACATATGAGGTCTGGCACTAGCTGGCATCGATGTGAACATTACTAATTCAAGGCTGTGGTTTACATGTTGCTCTGTAGAATCCTGTGTAATTAAATGGATGTGAATTTTTCCTCCATCCAAAATTGGATATCCATGTATTGAAGGGAAGACTTCTGGCTAAGAGTATTTTAGAGAAATGTAGTTGTAGTCATTTTCTTTTTGAAGTATAAATAGGCAGGTGATGGTGGCCTAAGAGTGACTTTCTGCTAGTGCCTGGGCAGACTCTGATCTGAATGTGTCGGCACACAGGCGTCCTTGCTGCAGGTGGACCAGAATCTTCTCCATTTCAGAAAAGCTGCTCGAAGCTTCGGGTGTGTGTTCACAGAGCTGGTGTAGATCTTGTTTTGAACACCTCAGGGGATGTAGATAAGTTATATTGAGTGATTTTTAAGCTAAGCGTTTGTTCTTTCTGCTCCTGGCATTTAATGTCCTCTAGTAGCAGGGCCCTAGGAAAACCCCCAAACCAAAAACACATTGAATGCACAAATCATAGTTGAGAGAATTTTGACTTATTTTTCTTAACATTTCTCTGATTGCCTGGCTTCCCTCTTCCACTTAGGAATGATACTTTCCTTATCACGGAGTCTCCAGCACTCGGCATTATGTCTAGCACATGACTGGATAGATTCCTAGCAGATTTTTCTCACTCAGGTATAGAAGGAAACCTGTGCATTCAAAAAAAAAAAAAAAAAAACCAACAATTTTAAGTACATCTCAATTTTATGTAATTTCAGCAGGTTATTACTTTGAAAATGCAAAGATTAACATGTAATATTATTGTCTAAAATAGTAATGTACATTGTAGGCTGGGGGAATGAGTCATTTAAAAGTAAAATAAATAAATAAAGCAGTATTGGTGTAACTGCAATTTCATTCTCTAAAATGATCTGAAAAGAATTTAGTCTTGGTAATAGCAGGGATCTTTAAAAACCTCATTGAAGGAAGCCATTTATTAACCCCTGGGTACAGTGAGGTACGGGATTGATTGGGAGACTGCTGCCAGCTTTTACTACCTAGCAACCTACCAGGTTATTTTAGGGTATTGGTTGAGAAGCAAAACCATTTCCTGTGATAAATACTGAATTGTGTACCTTATGGTCCCAATGATAAAGCTGTTTATTTTTAGTCCATTGAATAAAAGAAGAACTTTCATAGGCAAGTGTATAATATTTAAGGTTTGTGGAGGGGGAGAGAAAAAAAATCCATATAAAATTAGCACTTTCAAGTTCAAGATTATTCATTGGCAAGAGGTTATTGCTTCTCTCTGAGGCCAGGTGAAATGGGGGAGATAATGGTCCTTGCAGCCCAGAGGAGTAAAACTGCCACTTCTTGACTCCTTTAGAATGAGCAAATCACACAAGATGTTAAAAACAGTGGGTGCCCCATCAGCATTCTTGTCCTGCCGAAAAATGTGCGTGTACTCTTGGGCAATTGCTTCACTCTGTTTTCTCAACTCCAGATAATTACCAAAATATGCTATGCTGTTGCATCCTTTTGATGCTGTTTTTCCTCAAGTTTTATGGAATGCTTCTGGTGTATGGAAAGAAAGCTCGTCTCCGTAGCTGAGACACTGTCACATTTTAATGTCATCCTGTGACAGAATGATTCTATTAGCATCCTCTTGAATCCTTCCCACCCCCAGTTTCTTCTTATCAAATTCAAGGTAAAATTTAGCTGTATTGGTTAATTCTTGAAAATGCTTTTTATTCCCCTCTTAGTTTCTTTCTTAGGAAATTTGAAATAACAGTTTTTTGGGTTGATTTTTTTTTCTGGTGACAGAGTTCTCTTTTCAGAGTTTGAATACTTTTATTTTTTTAAAAAAGACTTATTTAATTTATTTGAAAGGCAGTGTTACAGAGAGAGGGAGAGAAACAAAGAGACAAAGTTCTGCCATCTGCTGGTTCACTCCTTAAATGGCCACAACAGTCTAAGGCTGGGCCAAGCCAAAGCCAGGAGCCTGCAGTTCAATTTGGGTCTCCCACATGAGTGATAGGAGCCCAGGTACTTGGGCCGTCTTCCACTGCTTTCCCAGGTGCATTAGCCAGGTCCTGGTTAGGAGGTGGAACAGCTGGGACTCGAACCAGCGTTCTCATGGGCTTAGCCAGTAGTGCTGCATTGCTGGCTCCTGAATATCTGTGCTTTAATGCAACTGTGTCACCCTTATAAAGATGACCCGTCCATAGTGAAAGAGTGATTTGATAGTTCTACAGTTGAGTTTAGACTAAATTGCCTAACATTCTGATTGATTGTGTTGGGTAGACTTCAGTTTGTTTGGGTGAGTTTGTAGTTGGCCACCTGAGGAAATGCAGGTTATCAGAATGCAGCAGACACGTGCACCATTTTAATCGGTAGTGGTTTCCCTTCTACTAAGAAAATGCAAATTTACTTTGGTGGAAAGTTTCTCCCCTTGAGGTTGATGCAAGGCTGGCCAGAAAGATGTCATGAGGAACAAAGTACCAGTTTACACCAGCGTTACAATTAAGGGATGAAAGTGACTTACTAAGGAGAAAGAATGTTAATGACAAAGTTAAGTATATGTTGTTGACATTCCCTAAATGTTTATTGTTATAAATAACAACACGTTGGGATTTAAATTTCTGCTAGTCTTGCAGGCTGACTTCAGGGGGGCTTTTCTTGGCTGATTTGTAAAACCAACTGGAATTCTAATCACTTCTAGAGTAGGGATTTAGGGAAGGAGACTTAGCAGTTCTTCGGTTCTCTTGAGGGCAGGATTTCCCCGAATGTTCTCCTTCTTACTGATTGATAAAGCAAAACCCATTCTTTGTCTTTGGGGATCTTGCTAAACTTGCTTCTCTTTCCAAATGGCACTTGGAGATGGAAGTAGCTGTGTCCTTTATTTTCTCTAGGCTGTGTGAATGGTGACAGTGACTCCCCCAGTCAGTGGGGGTCACATATTCTTGGGCCTCTTGATTCTTCATAGACGAGCTGAGCTCTTTCTGTTCAAATTTGACACTGGTGCAAACATCCAGGAGGCATCCAACAGACCCGTTGGTGGTGACCTTGAGTGATGACCATGACCCAGTTCGCTTGCCTGCCCTTGGATCCCCTCCACCCACACTCAGTCACAGGTTTCCAGGAACCTGTCAGCCAGGCCTTACACGTCATCTTCTGAAAGAAGTTCTGTAACATTTGTGTGCGTTTTGGTTCTTCTTTTCCAGAAAAGTGTTCTTAAATTTCCCAGTGAGATCTTGGAAAACCCACATAGCTTATTTTGGTTGGTTTTAAGTGGTGCTGGATGATTTTGGGGATGTTAAGTCCATCGTTTATGCAACCAAACTTGTATCAGCTCATGGAATGGGCCTTGGCTTAAATCTTGGAGCTGCCAAGATTGGATTGTGTCACTTGGGGTCGCTCACTCTCAGCATGTCTCCTCATGTCATGGAAATGTGGGGACAGTCTATATCCTCCAGGGTTGTTGTGAGCACTGAAGAAATCATGGGTGCTCTATTCTGTGCATTCCCACTGGATCCCCCTCACCAGCTTTATTCCCCCACCAACCACAGCCACCAGCTGGGTTCATTTCCAGTCGCTGACATTGATCGTGCCCATGCGTAGAAAGCGTCAGGAGACCAGCGGTCCCCAGAACCCAGATTTACAACCACGAACTGATGACTGTAAGATCTGCGTATTCCAGCTTCTTTGCCCCTTCCCTGGATAACTCAGAGGCAAGTTATCCTACAGCGTCTGTGCTGGATTAGCCTTGAAATACCCAGTGTAGCGGCTGACTTGATGATAACACTTGTTCTTGGCTGCCTTCCCTTCCGGTGCCACCTTCTCGTACCCATCGCCATTCCTGCTCCTCCCAGACAAGATGCTGGTGCTCAGTCTTAGATCAGGCTCTGAGAACACCTGTGAGACAGTCACGTGCAGTGCCAAGTAGAGGGTCTGCAGCATGTCGGCCCTCAGTAATTGCAAGTTACCCATCATGTATGTAATAAGCCAAATACACGACACTCTTAATTGCCCCTTGAGATATATGAAAAGCCTTCAGGTTTTGTTCTCTAGCCTGGAGCTGCTTTGAGGTGTAGTGCCCTGTCTCCCAATGCTTTTCCTGTAGGTGTACAGCCGCTGTTACAGTTTGCTTCTTGGGATACAGATGACCGTTGATTGCTGCCCCTGTGGCTGGCCCCGGATCAAGATGTGCTGTGAGGGTTTAATACTTGCTGGATTTCACAGACTCAGTGTGAAAAGGAACGAGAAATATCCCATCACTAATGTTTATATTTTGGAAGGCAAATGTTTTGCATTTATTGTCTTTAGTAAAATGCATTAAATTTAACTTGTTTCTTTTGCTTTTTTTAATGTGGCTACTAGAACATTTTAAATTGTGCATATTTCTAAAATATATGTACCATTTGTTAAGATTTATATGTTTCTTTGAAAGGCAGTTACAGAGAGAGAGACAGACAGACATACTCATTTTGGAAGTAGGACAGCTGGGACTGGAACTGGAACTCCAATATGGGATTGTGGCCTTGCGGACGGCAGCTGTTTAACCTGCTGTACCACGATGCTGGCCCCTATATTTCACTTTTAAACTGTATGTAATTGTTAAGCTACATAGAATTCACATTTCTATTGTCTTGTGTTATTCTAGAAAATTACTAGAGTGTTCAGGAATGCCTCTCCTTCAGGGTCGTGGGGGACAGCCTCTGATCTCCTTGTGTGCTTTATTGTAGGTTACATGTCACCGCATCCATCTCCACTGGGAGCCCCAGAGCACGTCTCCAGCCCTATCTCCGGAGGAGGCCCAACCCCGCCCCAGATGCCACCGAACCAGCCAGGGCCCCTCATCCAGGGAGATCCGCAGGCCATGAGCCAGCCCAATAGAGGTCCCTCGCCTTTCAGCCCTGTCCAGCTGCATCAGCTGCGAGCTCAGATTTTAGCTTACAAAATGCTGGCCCGGGGCCAGCCCCTCCCCGAAACACTGCAGCTCGCAGTCCAGGGGAAAAGGACGTTGCCCGGCATGCAGCAGCAGCCCCAGCAGCAGCCCCAACAGCAACCACAGCAGCAGCAACAGCAGCAGCCGCAGCCGCAGCAGCAGCCGCAGCCGCAGCAGCAGCAGCAGCAGCAGCAACAGCAAGCTCAGCTGCCACAAACGCTGATGGCCTTTGGTGGCCCCGCCAGACCATCTGGTAGGTTCAGATGCGAGCAGATGAGTGATGCCAGGGTACAGCGTGGGTGAGACAGACTGCTCACGTGCACAGGCAGTGGCTTCGCGCGAACCCGGGGCTGGCGGCAGCTTCTGTGGGCCTTTTTTTTTCTGGGACCACTCAGGTGGCCTGGCTTTCTGGCCCCTTGCAGTGGAGTCCTAGAACAGTGCTTCTTAGCCTCTGCAGACTCCCGTGCCAGGCTGGGCCTTGGGAAAAACAGCGCTGTCACTCATGACAGCTCCCGGGAGATGTCGTAGACATCTTGAGATTTCTCAGAGGCCCTACCACATGCCCCGGGTTAAGGACGCTTGTACCTGCTGTGTTCCCTGGACAGAACCCTCTGGCCTCGAGTTGGCCTCACCAGAGCCATCTCAGAGTTGTTGGTTGATTGATTTCCACCCCTTTTTATTGTGAACAAGCATCTGGGGAAGCTTCCAAGGAGCCAACCTGAAGTAAAATTAGTTATCAAGCAGCAAGTGATGAACAAGGGAAATAGAAACAGAAGTAGGAAATGGAGGTCAGGAGGGTGGAAGCCCCAAGAGCCCTCCTGGTGGCTGTTCCCCAGCTCCGACAGTGGCTCGAGTGTCCTGCCAGGTCGAGGCCAGAGTCGACGGGGCAGACACCTTGCGGTCACTGTCTGGAAAGAGCTGGCTTCCCTGTTTCTCAGAGGGCACAGGGCAGTTTCTAGCCTGTGTGTGTAAAGTACATTTCCTGGTTGGGTGTTTTGTTTCTTTAAATGACCATCACCATCATCTTCATCCTCATCCTCATTATTATAACAGACACTGAGTGATGAAAACCTCTGTAACATTTGTTCATAATAAGTAGAAGAGCAGGTGCCCTGGGACCCTGGGATGTGGCCTGGAGCTCTGACACTGTGCAGTGCATAAAGATGGTACCTTCCTGTACGTGGCCGCCTAGTGGGCCAGCTTGACCTCACAGGTGGCATTCGGCAGTGTTGAGAGTATAGGGTGTGCTTTCTGTAGGAAGTTTCTGGAAAGAACTCAGGAAAGCAGAGACTTTGTGGTCCTCCTCCTGGGAAGCCTTGGCGCGTAGGGAGTGTGGTCCTTCTTTGACACCAGTCCCATTTCCTGGGAATGTTTCCACTCATCTGGGTGAGCCATGGCACGCTGGTCACTGGGAGCCGTCAGCGTGGGATCTCGGAGCTCTTCCTAGGTTTTGGGACGTTCACAGTGGGAGAGGTTCCGCTTCATGGGTTTATCAATGTTGATATTCTGCCTTTCAGCTCTTTTCTGCCAGAGGCAGCTCCAAACTGTTCCTGCTAGTTGTAGAGACAGTGAGTGCCTACATCTGTTTGGGCTATACAACAAATACTATATCCTGGTCAGCTGATGAAAAACAGAAATTAATTTCTCACATTTCTGCAGACCAGAAAGTCCAAGATCAAGGTGCCTGCAGATCTGGTATTTCCTGGGTCAGGAGTGGCAGCTTTCCACTGTGTCTTCACGTGGTGAAAGGGGTCTTTTGTTATAACGGCGCTAATTTGGGCAGGCGTTTGGCACCGAGGTTAATACCCCTCTTGTGGCACTCACAGTTCATATCAGAGTGCTTGGGTTTGAGTCCCAGCTGCACTTCTTATTCCAGTTTCCTGCTTCTGTGTACCCTGGGAGGCAGCAGGTGATAGCTCAAGTACATGAATCCCTGTGAACAAGATTGAGATCCTAGGCTGGCGCCACAGCTCACTAGGCTAATCCTCCGCCTTGCGGCGCCGGCACACCGGGTTCTAGTCCCGGTCGGGGCACCGGATTCTGTCCCGGTTGCCCCTCTTCCAGGCCAGCACTCTGCTGTGTCCAGGGAATGCAGTGGAGGATGGCCCAAGTGCTTGGGCCCTGCACCCCATGGGAGACCAGGAAAAGCACCTGGCTCCTGGCATCCGATCAGCGGATCAGCGCGGTGCGCTGGCCGCAGCGTGCCGGCCACGGTGGCCATTGGAGGGTGAACCAACGGCAAAGGAAGACCTTTCTCTCTGTCTCTCTCTCTCGCTGTCCACTCTGCCTGTCAAAAAAAAAAAAAAAATAAAATAAATAAAAACAAGATTGAGATCCTGGTTCCTGGATTCAGCCTGGCCCAGCCCTCGGGGTGTTGTGGGCATTTGGGGAGTGAACCAGCAGACGGAAGAGCTCTCTGTGCCTTTCTGTCTGTCTCTTTCTCCCTCTCTCTGCCTTTCAAAGACAGAAGTGGACACTAATTCCACCCATAGGGATTCAGCTCCCCATGCCCTAATAACTTCCCAAGGGTCCTATCTCCTATACCATTGCCTTGGGGTTCACATTTCAGGATATGAATTTGGGGGGATCACAGACATCTAGACCATAGCCAGAAAGTGTCATTTCAGCTCATCATTCCTGTGTGGCTATCATGGAGCCATTTGTCAGACCTAGCACTAGGTTAGGAAGGTCAGAAAACCATGTAGAAACTGTCATTTTAACTCTTCAGTATTTTTACGAGTTTTGAAGCTGTAAAGCTCCACCTCTCAGAAATGCAGCCGGATACAAGCAAAGGCTGTCTACGTGTAGTGGAGCCTTTGGAACGTTCATGCGTGTTCCGTAAAACCACATGTAGATTTCCCTTATGCTTTGCACCAAACTGTAGTCATCTTTTAGTTGCAGCTTACTTGAAAGTCCCTTCCTATGTATGTGGGCTGCTTGTATTTATTGAGTGTCTGAGCTTACTCACAGGCTGGTCCCAGGAAGAAGCAGTTGACACACATTAACTATTTCCTGGCTCAGCCCCCAGTAGTCTGACGTGTTGGTCATGTTGCTATCCCCTATCTCAGTGGATGAACAGTATTGATTTTTAAGAGCTTTCAAGCAGAGGCCAGTTGGTGGCAACCAAATAGCTAATGGTTTGAAGGAGAGGAAGGACCAACATCTGAATCTCTCCAAAGGTCTGGACCTTATCCTGTGAGCATTAATGTACTACACGAACTACTTGTCCTGGAGTCTCACCTTATCACAGACTTCCACAAGCACTGGTCTGTTTTTGAAAGGGTCATTTATTTATTTATTTATTTGAAAAGCAGAGTGACAGAGCAGGAGGGAGGGAGCAAAGGAGGGAAGGAGAGAGCTAGAGAGAAAGCGAGAGCAAGAGTGAGAGAGAGAGAAAGATCTTCCACCTGATGGTTCATTCCCCAATTGCCCACAGCAGCCTGGGGTGGCCTAGGCTGAAGCCAAGAGCCAGGAGCCAGGAACTGCATCTGAGTCTCCTATGTGAATGGCAGGAACTTGGCAGTCTTCTGCCACCCTGGGAGCATTAGCAGGAAGCTGAATCAGAAAAGCAGCCAGGACTTGATCCCAGATACTCTGATGCAGGATGCAGGTGAGCCAAGCAGTTGGTTAACCCACTGAGCCGCGATACTCTCCCAAAGCTATGTTTTTTTTTTTTTTTTAAGATTTATTATTTATTTGAAAGACAGAATTACAGAGAGAGAGAGGTCTTCCATCTGATGGTTCACTCCCCAAATGGCTGCAACGGCCGGAGCTGCGCTGATCCAAAGCCAGGAGCCAGGAGCTTTCTCCGGGTCTCCCACGCGTGTGCAGGGGCCCAAGCACTTGGGCCATCTTCTACTGCTTTCCCAGGCCATAGCAGAGAGCTGGATTGGAAGTGGGGCAGCCGGAACTAGAACCGGCACCCATATGGGATGTCGGCACTACAGGCTGTGGCTTTACCCACTACGCCGCAGCTCCAGCCCCAAGCTGTAGTATTTTAAAGGATAACCCAGACTCAGTAAAAAGATTCCCAAGTATTACTTAAACTGGTAGGAAGTGGAAGGATGGGTTTGAGAAAACTTTTCATCTCAAGTTACAATAACAAGACAGAAGTAGCAACATTTGTGGGAGGCAGTTTCAGTTATTTGTTGTGCGTTGTGTGTGGGTCCTGTGCTGCTAAACCCAGTTGTGAGTGTGTTTTCCCCATCATTTCTAGAAGAGAAGGCTCCACTTTTGTTTAAACCCAGCTCTAACACCTGCATCTTCCTCTGTCAGGTGTCTGTCATTAGAGTTCGTTCACTTCATTATTCACTGCCTGTGTCTTGTCTCTCTAAGCCAGGTTTTCTAGAAATAAGGGGGGGGGGGGCATGTGAGGCTTGATGGCAGAGTGGACAGAGACCATGGATAAAGAGGAAAGGAAGAGACCTCCTTCAAAAAGAACAAGCCCCATCCTGCCACCTCCAAGGAGTGTGTATGCCAGATTCGTGGGTCTTGACCTCAAGCCTTAGCTTGCCTAAGGAAACACAGCATTTTTTTAGATTGGCATTTAGGAGAAGCCAGAAGAGATCAAAAAATTTTTTTAAATGAGTAGTTAATCATTAGTTTTTATATCCCCCTTAAAAAAATTAAAATGGCTTGTAAACACCTCTGCTAATGTTTCCGGGGGGAAATGAGTTTCAGGATGTCCCTCTCTCTGGAGGTAGTGGGACTCATGGGTTTCTTTTGTCATATTTCTGAGGGTCGTTCATAGGGGAAGAGAGTGTTCTGGGCCAGGGAATGTGATGTCATTCTAGCCACGCACCCAGAGTCACAGTTTGAGTCTGACCTTGCGCTGGGCGTGGCCCCACAGTGGTTCTGCCAGGGCTGCAAGGCTGGGCATCCGTGGCTGCCATGGGGACCGTGTAAATCCTGCTTTTCTTCTCTTTTTGATTCACTGTTCCTTTTAGAGATGAAAGCAAATTTAAAAAATGAGGACAAAAAAGGTTTTGGGTTTTGGGGGATTAGGGAGGTCCTTCATGGTAGCAAACAAAGGTTTTGTTGCCCTTTTTATGGGTTCCAGGGCTTGCCCTCCCAATTCCCACTCCTTTTTTTGATAGCTCAGATTTTTTTAGATGCTCCGTTTATTTATTTTAATGTTTATTTCTAAGAAGATTTACTTTTTTTTTTTTTTTTTGAAAGACAGAGTAGCAGAGACAGAGGGAAAAAGAGAGAGAGGTCTTTCATCTGTTAGTTCATTCCCCCAACATCTGCAACAGCCAGGGCTGGGCCAGGTTGAAGCCTGGAGCCTGAAACTCCATCTGGGTCTCCCATGAGGGTGACAGGGGCCAAGCACTTGGGCCATCTTCCACTGTTTTCCCAGGTGCTTTAGCAGGGAGCTGGATCTGAAGTGGAGCAGCTAGGACTCGAACTGGAGCCAGTGTCCAAAGCAGAGACTTAACCCTCTGTGCCACAAATATGCTTCACCACATTTCTTTTTCCAACTCGTGGAAAGTTCTTAAATTCTAATTCAATGCCTGGAACCGTCTTTTGCATTTATGGCCTGTGTTCCAGAAAGTCAAGGGAGACGTCTAGCATGCATGGAAATTCGGTGCCCGTGAGACCTTAGGCATCTAAGAAGTCTGTTGCTCTGTGTCCTAAGGTGGAGGTGCTGGGATGGGAAACCACCCGTGAAGATCCCCTCCGCAGCGCTGCACTCCCCGTGCAGGGCCTGGGGCTGCACGTGTGTTGGCTCCTAGGGTGAGGGCTGAGGACTGGAGGGAAGGAAGATGTCATGATGATGAAGGCTGAACCGTTTATTGAGAGAGAGAGAGAGAAACGGAGGAATGCAATTGGTCTTTCAGCGGAAGATCTTGGGGAAGGGTCATGTGGAGCCGACCAGGGTCGTGTGGCCTGGGACAGACCTCTGTCCGGCTCTACAGGGCAAACCCGGCAGGCAGAGGCGCCCTGGTGAGGAGGTAGCCAGGGGCTGGGCACATGTCGTGTCGTTGCATTAGGTGCTCTGTGGGAGGGAGGAGCGGGCCTACCTACACAGTCTGCCAGCTTGCGGCCTTGGCTCGGACAGCAGAGTTTGCTTCAGTGGCGCTCTGCCAGAGAACAAGCAGGAAGCCCAGCGCAGGGGCCACAGCCGAGGCCTGGCACCGGCCAGAAAAGTGTGACACCACAGAACATTATGCATCGCCACTTTTTTTTTTTTTTTTGCACCAAAATAAGCTTGTCTTTTTATTTCCATCTTCCTCAAACCTTGTGTTGGCCTCTGCTTTTTAACTACAGAAACGTTTTTGCAATTCTGTAGAGTTGAGTGATTGCATCAGGCCTGTGTGCTGTCCTGTCCTTGGTGGCTGGCAATGACAAGCACTGATGGCTGGGCATGCACCCTCACCGCCGGCCTGTGAGTTGGGTACTGCTGTTGCCCCCATTCTGCAGATGAGGAGACTGAGGCACAGGACAGTGAAGGAGCTTGCTCAGGTGTACCCAACCAGCAGGTGGTAGAGCTTAGATCAAACTTCAGTTCCTTCTGGATGAACACGGGGCGTTTGAAACTTGCTTATGTAGTGCATTGTGCTGACTGTAGTATTCTCAGTTTCCTAGAGTTAAAGGTATAATCCTGCATGCGCCCCCCCCCATTAGAATGTCTGCATTTAGCCACTGAAGAAGGCCTGCCAGGTATATATCAGATCAAGTTCAGGGTTGAAACCTGAATGTGTGCTGCCGTGTGCTGGATGCCTTTCTTTGAGGAGATAGGGTTTTATTTATTTATTTTAGATTGATTTATTTGAAAGGCAGAGTTACAGAGAGAAGAGAGGGAGAAACAGTCTTCCATCTGCTGGTTCACTCCCCGAACAGCTGGGGCTGGACCAGGCTGAAGCCAGAAGCCAGGTGCCTCTTCCGGGTCTCCTACATGGGCACTTGGGCTGTCTTCCACTGCTTTCCTAGGCGCATTAACAGGGAGCTGGATTGGAAGTGGAATAGCTGGGACACGAACCAGCGATCCTCTGGGGTGCTGGCATCGCAGACAGAGGCTCAGCCTGCTGCACCCCAGCATCTCCCCTGGGGCCATATGGGTTTTTCAGGGACTTGAATATGTCTCAGAGTCCTTCTAGGATTCTGTGTCCCCATACAGGCAGTGATGCCAAAGAAAGGAGCACCCAGCATGGGAGATGAGTGTAACAGGTACACCGCTGGGGATTCCTGGGTGCCCCGGCCTTGAAGGAGAGCACCTGGAGAGGGAGCATGGGCTCACGACTGCGACTTTATCAGTTCGATTCAGGTTTTCTCTTGGGGGGGGGGAGTGGTTTTTTGTTGCCCTCCGTGTCCTAAGGTCATCCTCAGTATACTCCTGTCTTCAGAAGTGGCTGCTGCCCGTCTCCTGGGGCTCGCTAAGGAGCACCCCGGGCTCCTCACGGAGCAGTAATGCGACTGCTCTTCTTCACCGGGCTCACGCCTGAACCAACCACAGGGAAGTGTGCCTTGTAGGAAGGGCCCCCCCTAGGGGGACATAGTCTCAAACTTGCCTCTGTAACTCAACGCATCGGCCAACAACGTTGAGATTTAATGTGTAGAAACTGGTGTCCTGTAGAAGGCTGAAAGCAAGTCCAGATGTAAAATACTACAAAGAGCCCTGCGTTGGCTGACAGGAGCCCCCATTCAGAAGGAGAGAAGCTGCTTGGCCGGAAAGACCCTTTTTATTGTGTGGCCTGTCCACGCACCTGAACCACAGGACAAAGAGAGCCCCTTTTCCTCCCCGGAGTTTTCCATCAGTTCTTAGAACCGGGGCTGCACATTATATCAAGATGAAATCTGATCTCAAGTGCTCTGTGTTTTGGGAAATTTTGCCTAATTTTAGGAGGGGAAAGAAAGGGTGGTAACACCACCCACACCCACATGCACATGCACACGCACACGCGTGCCACACATGCAGCACACATTGCACACTGGAGTTTGCTAAGCGGTTTACTCTAATCCTTGACTTGCCTTCTGTGGCTAACAGCTTTCTGTGCATTGTCATTTAAGCACTTTTCCAAGTGGCACCTGTTGGAAATGGAATAAACGTGTTCACTTTTTCATCGTGTCTGTCTATTTTATGGTTAATTATTCAGTTGCTCTGAAGTGTATAGACCCTTCCTTTGTTACCATCTGATATCTGTTTCTTCCTAGAAAAGATACAGAAAATACTTGAAAGAGTGCCTTTTAGGCAGACGCCACGGCTCACTAGGCTAATCCTCCGCCTAGTGGCGCCGGCACACCGGGTTCTAGTCCCGGTTGGGGCGCCGGATTCTGTCCCGGTTGCCCCTCTTCCAGGCCAGCTCTCTGCTATGGCCCGGGAGTACAGTGGCGGATGGCCCAAGTACTTGGGCCCTGCACCCCATGGGAGACCAGGAGAAGCACCTGGCTCCTGCCTTCGGATCAGCGTGATGTGCCGGCCGCAGTGGCCATTGGAGGGTGAACCAACGGCAAAGGAAGACCTGTCTCTCTGTCTCTCTCTCTCATTGTCCACTCTGCCTGTCAAAAAAAAAAAAAAGAGTGCCTTTTTAGAGGGTTTAGCATCTGCTTCCTGAATTTTATTTTTCATTTACCAGCTCATCTGGTATCATCATTAATCTTACTTATCACTCTAAAGTAACTAAAAAGTTACCTGCAAGGAGACATGGAGCACTTACTTCAGATCTCTGCCTAGTAGTTAATTTAGACTCCTGAACTTAATATGGCAAAGTACTTTAACTTATCAAGTAGTTTTGATAAGCTTAAAGATTGCATGTTGTTCAATAATGTAAGAAGAATATTCTCTTGAATCTTAATATTTGCTCATTTTTATTAGATAGAATGGGATTTTTTTTCCCCCAACTTTGAGTGTTTTTATTAACATTTTCTAATAGGTAGTAAAAAGACTTAAGTTCCTGAGATGCCCTGATGAAAATACACTTTTTTGAGTCACTAAGGATGAAAAAGAGTCCTGCATCTAGTTCCCATGAGAAGTCTGGCCAGCTCTGCACCTGTCTGTAAAGCACTGGTTCTAACCGCAGGGCCATTCCGGATTGGGACAGAGGTTTGCCCTAAGGGGGCTTGCGGTGTGATTTGCAAAGTGCAGTTTTACGAACACACTCACCCTGCATCTGACTGTTGTGTAACTTCCTCCCTCTCTTTGAACCTGAGAGGTGCCTGTCATTATTTATAAAAACCCACATCCACAGCTGACCTGTCATTTTGTTAATCAGTTTATTATGGAAGAGTCATTTTCCTCCATGCTTATTAGTGATTGTCCATTTCCCTAGGGATGGAGGCTCGCGCCCTTTCTTCTTTTCCCTTTTCCGTTTTTCACCTCCCTCGCCTCCCTGCTTGCTCCTCTCCCTTCTGTGCCCTCCTTTTCCTTCTCTTCCCTTAGCTCTCTGAGACACACAGTGGTCCTGTCCCTGAGCCCCAGGAGTGGCGGGCAGGTGTGGCCTGCAGGGCGTCGTCCTGCCCCAACTGCCTTTGTCCCTCTTGTCCTGCAGGCCCAGGGCAGGAGCTGAGCGGTCCAGGCACCCCACAGAAGCTGCAGGCACTCAGCGGCCGGCCCTCGCCCGCGCCCCCAGCTGCCGCCCAGCCCCCCGCGGCTGCCGTGCCCGGGCCGTCGGTGCAGGCCCCAGCTCCGGGGCAGCCCTCGCCCATCCTACAGCTGCAGCAGAAGCAGAGCCGCATCAGCCCCATCCAGAAGCCGCAAGGCCTGGACCCCGTGGAGATTCTGCAGGAACGAGAATACAGGTACTGCACCCCGCTAGGGAAGGGACGAGCGGCCTGGGGCTGAGCTGCCCCCTCCCTGGGTTGGAGCCATTCTTCTGGGGGCCAACAGAGGGGCCTAAATGCTAGAGGCTTGGGTAGGCACTGGGAACTGGAAGACCAGAAGGCCAAAGTGGATTGCCTATGGATCAGGAAAGTGTCCAGCATGGGTTATAATGCATGGTCTTTGTTTGTGGTTTGTGTCCTTGACACTTGAGCAAGGTGGGCTGGTATATGTTGTGAAGGCCTAAATTCAAGTTCATGGCCTACCTCCAGATACCAAATCTTATCATGAGGGCTTGGCATCTAATATGTCCTTTGTTATCCTTTGTGCATGTTTGGGTCTCTTGCATGGTCCAGCTTCAGGGGTAAGCCCTATGTATGTGTCTTTATATGGGGTACTTATTTACACTCTTACCCTAGAAACTTAACTTTCACCTGTGTGGCACTTTTATCTAAATCAGCGATTGGGAAACTTTCTCAAGTAAAGGCCTAGTCAATATTTTCTGACACACGCAGTTAGCTGTGACACAGCTTGGCAGCTCTGCCCTGTCTGTCCAAAAACACCCACACAACGGTAATGGATTGGCTGCATCCCAATAAAACTTTATTTACAGAAGCCAGCTGTGGGCAGGGTTTGGCCTGCGGGTTGTGGTTGGCAGATTCCTGATGGTTATTGACAGGCGGACAGGGAATCCAGGAAGTAGCGAGGCACGAGAAAACGAAGCTGAGATGTTGGGGATGGAGCCTGTCAGAACTCCCTGGGGTGACCCCCTGAGTCACCACGGCCAATGTAGGTCTGTCTGTGACTCAGTCTCCGCACAGGTTAAACCAGGACTCTAGAGTGCCTCGCACAGAGCCGGGAAGGTGAAATGATAGGGAAGCAGTCTCAGCACATTAGCTGTTACTATTTCTCAAACTTTCTTAATCCAAAAGCAAAACTAGAGTCTAAAAATTCTGGAGAACATTAAGAAGCTCTGTGTGAACTCCTTGAAAGATGTGACCTCAATCTTTGTGGAAAAGACTTATTGTAGACTTCTTTAGTGTCAGATATAAAGCTTGGAGAGTTTACCCTGAAGGAAGTCACAGTAACTTGTGCATAGCTCTACGAGTGAAGAGTGTACCTGCTCTCGTGATCATTGCTAATTTTCAGCTTGGAGCTTTTTGGCCCCTGTTTCCAGCATTTTGTGTGTGTGTGTGAGTGTGTGTGTGTGTGTGTGTCTAGACTGCCTGGTACCCACCATCACTTGATACTTCAGTACTTCTGCTAGGTTTTCTGGGTTATAAAGTCAAATACTGCACACTGAGGCAGAGAAACAGTCTTCGTGTGCGGTTCTTTCTTTATGCTTCCACTGAATAAAAAAGGTCAACGTATTAAAAGAAGGTCAAACATGGGATAAAGGGCCATGGAGCAGTTAGTGTAACAGTCTGACTTCCTGGGGCCGGCGTTGTGGCGGAGCCGGTAGCAGCCCTCGGCCCTCTGGGACAGAATGGCTTCACTAGCTTTCATCACCAGGAACCAGGGTTAGTGCATTTTTATCATCTCATCAGTGAATCGGGCAAGGTCTAAAAAAAAAAAAAAAAAAACCTTTACAATTGGGTAAACTTAGTTTGAGCAAATAACACTTGTCAGAAATTCTTTAACGTATGATAATTTCTTTGGCTATTGTAATATCACTTACCTTGTCTACGAAAATTAAAAGGAAATTGTCAGACTCTTGTAGTTTTTTTAAACATCTAAGTCAGTTGTCTGCTTTTCCTTGTTCATCCTAAAATCAGAATTTTGACAAATTGACCTTCTTTATTCGTTTGTAGCATAAATAAGCTTCTGTCTACGAACACGTTGCCTCAAATCTGTCTTTCTTAAAACATTTTTTCTCATTTAAATTGGATCTTTTTTTTTTTATACCGTCTTTCTCTTACGATAGGATTTTATTGCTTCTCTCTGTAGTATCAGAGATAGGAGGGTACTTCCAAAAAAAGTCTATGGAAAATGGAGCTAGCAAATCATGGGCATTTCTCACAAACATTATTTTTAAAGATTTATTTAGTTACTTGAAAGAGCTACAGAAAGAGAGAAGCCTTCCATCCATTAGTTTACGCCCAGTGGCTGCAAAAGCTGGAAGGCAGGTGCTTCATATGGATCTGCCACGTGGGTGCAGGGGCCCAAGCACTTGGGCCATCTTCTGCTACTTTCCCCAGGCCATAGCAGAGAGCTGGATCGGAAGTGGAGCAGCCGGGTCTTGAACCGGCGCCCATATGGGATGCTGATGTCGCAAGCTGCAGCTGTAACCCTCTATGCTACAACACTGGCTCCTCCCACAAGTGTTTTGAAGCGCTCAGTTCCATGTGCTTTTCTTCATTGGGGCACACTTTCTTTGCCCTCTCAGTCTGCCCAGCTTCAGTTTCTTCCATTCACAGGTAGATGCTTGATCAGAGATTCCACTGATGTTCACTCTCGGCAGGGTGCACTGGGGAAGGACATCTCCTTCTATGAGCCCTCTCTGGAGTCAAGTTAGAATTTCACCAGAAGCAGTAGTCTACCCTGGCTTCTTCAGAAACCCGGCCTAGGCTGCTTTGCTTACCTGTGTGGGTTTTATTTTATTTTTTGGCTCTGCCCTTGGCTCCTGTACAACTCTGAAAATTTCTTCTCAAAAATTACCAGCAGCTACTTTAGTAGCAGAGTTGCCAAAGTCACACGCACTCTGTCTCTTTTGAAAGTGTCACTCAGCTCCTTGAAGGAACAAAATGTACCAGTGTCATTTTCTGTTCAAATAACTCTCCTCCAGGAATCATAAACTTCTCCTCTGGACCTGAACAAATATCTGTTGCCTTTAATGGAACTCTTTTTTTCTTGCCAGAGCAGTAACCCCTCTTGATTTACTGTTCAATCTGTATGAAAAACCAGAGTGACCTAATTCTGCTTCAATTTTCTGTACTCGTGAGGACACTAAATGAGTCTCCCGCAGTTATGCAGTATTACATGGTGGTGTTGTTTCGGGAAGTTGAGAATCCTGAATCTCCTTAGCAGGCTACCTGCTGAATTCCATTGCCGGCAAGATGAAATTGTCTGGAGAGGAGCGTTATTTACAATGAAGATTTCTATTAGCAACAGCAACAGCAAGGATATCTTTTTCCTTGTTGAAGAAGCCCCTCCTGGTGCTTGGCTGCCACCCCTCCCCGACACGCCAAGTTACCGCGGAATCTGCCTGCTCTCGTCTCCTAGAGCTTGCAGTTGGTACCTTCTGCTTCCCTTTCATAAGGATTCCTTTGTGCTAGGGAGGCTGTGATTCACTGACAAAAACGGTCAGTCATTTCGGGAAGACATGCACCCCGCGCCCGGCGCCCACCCGTGCTGATGGCTCAGTCACGCAGCTCCCCGTCGTCCGGCCCAGGCGCCCGCTTCCCGCCTCCTCAGAACCCCTGTCCACCCCCCAGGCTTCCTCGCCTGCAGTTCTGTGTGATTGAATCTCCACGCCGGCAGCCCCGTTGTCCTAGTTCCATAGCCCTGTGGCAGATTGAGGAAAAGGCAGTTCTGATTCAGCACCCGACTCGCTCTGTGCAGGAGAGGAAGCCGGGATAGCAAGAGACAGTTTGAGTGCTAGGATATTCAAGTAAGAAAGACCTGCCCTGAATCTGAGCCAAGGAGCTCCAATGACCAAAGCATTTGTCATCATCTCACCCCCACCCCTGTAGTATAGTCCTTCAGCACGGTCTTAATTCTGCAGAAGTAAAATTGTTTCAGTTTTATTTCTTTCCAGTTAAATTTTTTATTTAGAAGAAACCCATAATGGATTTTTCTCTTAATTTCCTCATTGTTAAGCATCATCTGTCACTATATTTGGAGATTTGGGACTATGTGGGTTTTTAAGAAAGTGAATTAGATAAATGAGGCAGATGTTTGTTTCATGTAGTGAACATTTCAGAAAAACAACGTGATCAGTCCATGAGTATCTCTACTAAAGGAAATGTGGAAGCAGGTTTGGGGGGGTTGGAACTACTTTGTCATTGTTTGAACTAACACATTTTTGACCTGTTGCATGGTTAAGTCGTTTAAGAGTGCTGCTGCATGTGCTGGTATGCTCAGTTAAAATAATTGCACGGTCGCAATGAGAACAGTGATGCTATGATAAATCAGTCAGTAAATCAAAATTAATAACACTACTTACACAAATAAAATAAGAATTTGTTGCAAATGTTATTTTCACTGAAGCCAATGAAAAGTGAGCTGTTTTCCTCATAGCCATTTTTAACTTTTTGAAAAAGATGCCATTTTATTTTCCTTCCAACCCAAACAATTGTAGGTATTTTTTTCTAACACTCATTTTTATATTTGGGCAGCATGAAGTAATGGGATATTTCATGGCATCTGAGTCATAGAAGATTTTACCTTGTTATGTTAATATACAGCATCATCAAGATTGGAATAAAGAAGCCATAGTATTTATTTTTAACAAAATCCTTACTTTTCAACTTTTTTGGTTGAGGTCCAGGGAGGTTCTCAGAAAGCTTAATTATCCACAGTATCAATACAGTGGTTTTCGTATCTGGCATATGAGGCCTCCCGTCTCGGCTCCCTCCAATACTAGCTCTGAGATGTGTTTGCTCAGTTTTCTCCTTGGAAACACAAAGCCTAATTTATAGCATTTACTTTGTGCTGGGGTATGTGTGTATGTGTGTAAGACACACAGAGAAAATGAAATAAAATGTTCTGTTAAACTCACTTCATTTAGTTAATATAAATTTCATTTGACTTATTTCACCTCTTTTCTTACTGTTCTTTCTTTGTTGGAATCTATTTCAAGGCAGTTTTGTCCCACATTTGTGGGCAGGTAGTTGAAGAAATGGCTTAGGTGACGTGAGTATTTGTCAGACTAGGATCCGGGTGAACTGTAGATGCGGGAGTTCCTAGGTGTAGAGGAAGCACAGTCCCACATGAGTGCAGCAGGTGAGGTGTCTGCTAGTGCCGTTCTGCCTTTATAACGAGGAAGTCACTGCAGTGATATTTTTGCTGGTGTCTAAAATGAGAGTCCCCAGCATCCTTTTCTAGAAACTTCTAGCCTTCAAGTGCTATTTGCTGCTGCCCCTGTTTTCAGAAATGCCTTGTTTGTCTGTTCTCCTGCGAGCACTGCTCACAGAGGAAGTGGTTGTGGTTGGCGGGGCTCTCTCTGAATGTTTTGGGTTGGCTGGTTTCTGTGGCCTCAGCACCCAAAACTGTTCCTGCCCACTGCTTGAACAGCTGTCTTCATCAGTGCTCTGGCAGGGAGGACCAGCGGCCCCCTTGCCTTGGGACACAATGAGAAGTTGGGAGGAAAAATCCTGGCTCAGCTCTGCACCCTGGCTGGCTGGGCGTTAGAGAGCAAGCCACATTTCCCTATCTCTGTTTTCCCTCTCTGCTAAGAGCAAGCACGGACATTGGACTTGCCCCCTAGGTGTAGCCTGAACCTTCTTCCCTGCTGTTCACAGAGAGGATGTAGAGCCAGAGTAGAGTAACGTGTTGCACCTGTCTGTATCGACACAAGGGGCAGTTTTCTCTGCTTCCCGTCAGAAAATATACTTGGGTGCCAGAAATCCACCGGCAGTACCTGGAATGTGTCTCACTGTGAATTTGAATTTCAGGCTATTGTTGATCACCTAAGACTAAATTGTAACGTACATGTTCATCAACCTCTTCCCCCATTTTATTATTTCCTTTAGACTTCAGGCTCGCATAGCTCATAGGATACAAGAACTGGAAAATCTGCCTGGCTCTTTGCCACCGGATTTACGAACCAAAGCGACTGTGGAACTGAAAGCACTTCGGTTACTCAATTTCCAACGTCAGGTAACTCCTTTTCCCTCGTGGATCTGAGCAGTAGGAAGTAGATATAATTGTTTTTAAACTGTGACCCGTGAGCTTCCTTTGGTCTCTTCAATTTTTTTTTTTTTTTTTAAGATTTATGTTATTTGAAAGGCAGAGTTACAGAGAAAGAGGCAGAAACAGAGAAATCTTCCATCTGCTGGTTCACTCCCCAGATGGCCATAACAGCCATTGCTGGGCCAGGCTGAAGCCAAGAGCTTCATCTGGTCTCCCATGTGGGTGCAGGGGCCCAAGCATTTGGGCCATTTTCTGCTGCTTTCCCAGGCGCATTAGCAGGGAGCAGCTGAGAGCTGAACCGTTACCCATATGGGATGCCGGCACTGCAGGCGACAGTTTTACCCACTAAGCCATAGCACCAGCCCTTGTCCCCAATATTGTTGTAAAGATATAAACTTAGAAAAATAGTCGATCTTGTAGGCCAGTAGCATTCAGCTGAAAGTAATGGAGAGGAACTGCTTATTATCCTGTATTTCTCTTCTGTGTGTAGGAAACATTTTTTCCTCCGGTAGTATGGTTTACAAAGTCAGAGTTATGGCATTTTGTTACCATGGCTGAAAACCCTTGAGAACAAATGAGGATAGCTCATGTTTGCTTTTAGGACTGCACGGAAAAACAAGAAGGTGCTAGATCGGAGCTTCTTTATAAGCACACATGTACATTGCTAGCCGTGACTACAAAATTCATTTTAAAATGTGATAGCCATTCTACTACATTAATATCCCATCACTTGCAGAATTACATAAAACAATATCTTGTAACTTGATTATTCATCAAAACTTAAGTTAGGAGCATTTTTTCCCATCAGGCCCAGGTAATGACAAATCAATTATCATCATCTCTTCTTGCTAAGGTTCTTAGTGAATACTTATTAAAAGCAAGTACAGTGATCACTGTTCTGATTTCCAAATCAGTGGGAGAGTAGTAGAATGAGATCGAGCTCATTTTCACTTTGCAGAATTTTGTCTTGGGGACCCAAGGGGTCTCCCAGGCCACAGAGTGCTCACCAGGCAAAGGGGATATGGAGCATTTCATTGTCAGTCAGATGGGCTTGTGTTGTTAAAGTCCAGGGCATGCAAAATGAATTATTGATGAATAAGTGTAGCTTGCAAGCCTTGAATTGCATGGTTTGGTCTGTTGAGGATGTGACTAAAATCACAAGGCCACTCCACTTGCCATTGGCATATGAACTTGAGTGCACATTTGACTTAGCAGGTTTGATGTAAGAGAAGGGTATCGCTGATGGCTATATGCTATGTGACTATAAGTTTGAGAGAGTAGATTTTGGTTTAAATTTTATAAAAGCAAAGGAAAAATTATGTGAATTGTATTTACTTCTTTCTTATAGGTGATTTCACATTCTGAATTAATAAAATTTTGGTAAACTTTGTTAAGTGAATGTGACCCAAGCATATTTTCAGGAACAAACTTGGCAATAGCTTCACATGATGGCCTCTTTTTGGTCTCTGATTATTTTTGGATACTAGTGAAAAATCTGTTACCTATGAAGTTTCCCAATTAAATTAATTGTAACTGATGCTGATTTGAGATTCAATTGAATGATTATTATAAAATGTTTTCCCAAGTCTTTACTGTCTATTACCATTACAACATGCCTATATTTGTGATAATCTAAAATAAGTCCACGATATAAAAGTTTAAGCATCTTGCATAGGATATCGTTGATGGACAGGAGCCAGAAGCTCCTGTATCTCATCCGTTATCTGAGAATGTGAAATTTGTGTTGTTTGAGTATTTGCTGCTACTGTACAACTTGATCAGAGAGCAATTCTCTAATTCATTTTGTGGAACATCATTAATCTTTAAGCACGAAGTCAATGTTCTTAAGACATTTAAAATGAAGTAAAAAAATTTTGAGAGCTTGGTAGCTCATTAATATCATTAGAATAATTAAATAAAATGAATTAAGTTTATTTAGGAGCCAAGACATCTACTTTCTATCTCTTTTTACTGTTAAGCAGTACTATGCTATACTTTATTTGGAAGAAAGCTTACAGCATCTTGGACTATAGGGCATAAAGTTGGTACGATTTGAGTTCCTTCGCTTGGTGAAAGGCCCACTGTGATTGAGAAACTGGGAGAGAAGCCATTTTGCTCCATTAAACAGAAACGAGAGTTCAGGGTTCAGGAACCCTGCCCCTGATGGGAAGCTCTCTCTCTGCTCTTGACAGCTGCGACAGGAGGTGGTGGCCTGCATGCGCAGGGACACGACCCTCGAGACAGCTCTCAACTCCAAAGCATACAAGCGGAGCAAGCGCCAGACTCTGAGAGAAGCCCGCATGACCGAGAAGCTGGAGAAGCAGCAGAAGATCGAGCAGGAGAGGAAGCGCCGGCAGAAACACCAGGTCTGTGCACTGTGCCCTTGGCGGGAGCGGGGCCATCCCAGGACAGAAGGGTTCCTTGTGGAACCCTTTTTCATTTGGAAAATACCTTTTTTCATTTAAAAAATATTTTTTGCCATTATTTATTTGGGAGAAGGAGAGGAAATGAGCTACCTAAATGCTCACCATAGCCCCAGGCTAGGCCACAACCAAAACCAGGAGCCGGGAGCTCAGTCCAGGTCTCCCAAACTGGTGGCAGGGACCCGACTGCTTCAGCCTATCACTTGGCCCCCTGGGGTACATATTAGCAGGAAGCTGGAATTGGAAGTAGAGCTGGGACTTGCATCCAGGCATTCTGATATTGGACATGGGGATGCTAACTGGCATTCTAAGCACTAGACCAAACAGCATCATTTTATAGACAAAGGACAGATGAATGGATGCCCTGGCCAAGGTCACCTAGTGGATCAGCCAATAGGATGATGTGTGCAGCCCAGCCTTCTTGAATTCCAATCAAGTATAGTCTTAATCATTTCCATGTGCTAGAATGAAATACCAGAGATGGTGTGACTTATGAATAACAGCAATTTATTTCTTAATGTTCTGGGGGCTGAACACCTAAGACTAGGGTACCAGCAGGGTGGGGTTCTGGTAAGGGCCCTCCCCAGGGTTGGACACTACCAGCTTGTTGCCTCCTTGCATCATGGGAATACAGCAGGAAAGCTCCCTGGGGACCCTTTGAAAGACACTAATGCCACCAAGAGGAGTCTGTCCTCATGACTTCATCACCTCCTCTCCTAATGCCGTCACATTTCTAGGGGGTTGGAAATATTTTGGTGTGGAATTTGATTTTGTGTCACTATCCTATAAATTTTGTGTATTGTGCTTAATTTAGTGGTTAAGTTTCAGTTTGAAAAAATATTGGACTTTATAAATAGGATACGTGTTTCACTTAATAAGTGAATAAAAATTAAATGTGGCAGTTTCAGTGTTTATGGACTTATTTTGCATCACAGTTCCGAGGTATTTAAGCTAGAGCAGAAGTGTGCGGGTTTTTTTTTTGTTTTGTTTTTTGTTTTTTTTTTTCCTATGAAGAAGCGGATAGAGAAAGAACGAGCAAGAGGGAGTGCGCGAGTGCAAGTGCCCCATCCACTGGTTCACTCCCCAGGAGCTGCAGTGGCTGGGACTGGGCTGAGCCAGGCTGAAGCTGGGAATCAGAAGCCACACCCAGGTCTTCCCTGTGTGGGCGAGAACCCCGCTCCTGGAGCTGTCACTGTCGCCTCCCAGTGTTTTTGCCTTAGCAAGAAGCTGATCTCAGGAGCTGGAGCTGGGGATTGAACCCAGGCAATCTATGCGGACAAGCTCATTTTAACTGGAGTTTAACCGCCAGGCCAAAGTCCTCGTCCCCTCAAGTTTGTCTTAGAGTCAGAGAGGGATTACCTGCACATTTCATCATTGCCACTTGGCAGGTTTCTCTCAGTCTTGTGGTTCACCCCCTTGGGGCTTGGGAGGCTTGTCTCCCCCAGACCTGCAACAAAACCAACGCGGAGGGCTCATCGTGCCTGCCAGCTCCGTGTCCCACACCTCAGCTGCTGGGATGCACCGAGCACCTTCCCAAGGCAGAGGCTGGTCTTTGACTATGTATTCCGTGTACACTGAGGGGCTTCTTCACCGCACCTTGGGAAACGGGTTCCAAGGGTCCTTTCCTTCCCCTCTTGCATCCTTTAGGAATACTTGAACAGCATTTTGCAACATGCAAAGGATTTTAAGGAGTACCACCGCTCTGTGGCGGGGAAGATCCAGAAGCTTTCCAAAGCAGTGGCAACCTGGCACGCCAACACCGAGAGGGAGCAGAAGAAGGAGACGGAGCGCATCGAGAAGGAGAGAATGCGGAGACTGATGGTGAGGGGACCCCATGGGAGCCCGGTGCATGCTGGGCTCACATCCGCGCCACCGAGAGTGCTGACTATGGCAGGGGATAGGGAGACAGCGAGAGCTGCTCATCACAAGTACTCCTAAGTCCCTCTCCCTCTGAGCTTCTGGGGGATGGAATGAGAAGAGAACTTCCTCGTTCCTCGACAACACACGTCACACATCTAGGACGACAGTGGATGAGCATAGAATTTCCATGTCTTAGGCTGGCCAGAATGCAGATTATAGCTTCTCACATACAGGCAGGTACTCTGCTTTGCAGGGATTTGATGACCAGATCTGAAATGAGTGGTCAAGCATTTTTGAATGTGTGACTTATTACATTGTTTCTTGGGATCCAAGAAGATCTCTTTTTTTGATGCTTCTTGGAGGCCCAGAGTGCTTGTCTTTTTTTTTTTTTTTTTTTTTTTTTTAGTGGTGAAGTTACTCACCATCCACGTGACAAGTGCTTTTTAAGTGAATGTTGAAATGTTGTCTTGTTTGTAGTGGGTGTGTGGCTGTCAAAGGCTGTTCGGTGACCACTGTATTTGCACTGTTAGCTTTTAATGGAGATAGAAACCCAGTGGGCTTAGGTTTACATCACTGGCCTGAGTATGTGGTTGTATTGGCCTCTTGTTTTTGGAATTGGCCCTCAGAGCACCCCGTGGGTTTTATGTAGTGTGCGTGATCTGTAGTGATGCGAGGCCTACAAGCTGTGTGTAGGCTATGTGTGTGTACAAGCTGTGTGTAGCTGTGTGTGAAGATAAAGTCATTAGTCTCAGCCCATGATTATGTCCCTGGAACATTCTATGAGACACCATCTTCCTAGTTTGCCCTCCAGTTTGCATTTTGTTTAGACAGTCAACATCATGCTTTAAAAAGCCCTATGTCCAGGGCTAAATCTTTCCACCTTATCCTGCCTCCTTCTCCATTTTTTTTTTTTTTTTGGTAGGGAGCGGACTCTCCAAGAGATTTCTAACTAGCTAGGGAGACTATTTGATAGTAATTTGAGCAGTCGGCAGTCAAATTTGTCTGATTCAACTGAAGTGAAACTATATTAGAACTTCAGTAACAGATTGGCTTGACACTAATGATTAGGCATTTGCAAATCATTAATTTTTGCAATTAAATGATGGAATATACAGATAATAGAGAAACTGAAGTTTTTTATCACTCTTTCTTCAAGTGAGATCAACCATAACCAAAAGCAATTAGAGTTATAATAGCATTTGAGGTTCCCGCTCATCCGCGGAGCAGACAGCAGCTAGACTGAGTGATGAGGCTGCTGTGACTTGGGCACATGCTGGGGTGGACCCCCTGCTCTGACGACCCCAAGCTCTTCTGTAGGAGAGTTGCCTCTTAAAGGGTTTGCACTGTGTTCCTTTTAGCGCAGGAAAAAAAATATTTTGGATGGTATTTTTGTCGGGATGTATAAAAAAATATTTTTCTTGAAATGGCCTGGGATACTTGGGCGTTTTAATCCATTTAACCTCATCACGTTGCTTAACGGGAGGAGGAAGTGGGAATTATTGCATCTGCTTTATGGGTCAGCAGTGCCCGACCTCAGGTGCTAGACGACTCCTCCTTAGTCAGCCAGGCCTGTAAGTCAGCACGGATCTAGGACAGAAACCTCCCAGACGTGACCTTTCCGATCAGCCGCACAATTTTGACAGGGCCAAGAAAAAGTTGTTTCTGAGAAGGCATTGGATGCCTTGTCTTTAGAAGTATTTATTGAAGTGCATATGAATGAAAGGATGTCATGTCTGGAATTTGCTTGAGAAACAGTGAAGTGTGTGTGGGTTGGGAGAAGGAGTTGTGGTGAGGGATGGCAATGAAACAGGCGTCACCATGCATTAATTGTTGTTGCTTGATGTTGGTTCTATGGGAGATCATACCAGGCTCTCTGCTTTTGGTAATAGTTAAAAATTTCCAAATAGAAAGTTAAAAATCAACTCAAGATGATGAATCTTCAAGTTTTAACTTCTTAAAAAAGATTTATTTATTTGAAAGGCAGAGTGACAGAGGCAGAGGCTGAGAAACTGTCTTCTATCTGCTGGTTCACTCCCAAAATGCCTATAACCACCAGAGCTGGGCCAATCTGAAGCCAGGGGCCAGGAGCTTCTTCTGGGTTTCCCATGTGGGTTTCGTGGGCCCAAGGATTTGTTCCATCTTCCGCTACTTTGCCAGGTGCATTAGTAGGGAGCAGCTGGGACTCGAACAGGCACCCACCTGCAGTGGTGGCTGCTACACCACAGCACAGACCCTGACTTTTTTTGGTGTGTGTGTGGGGGTACAGTTACAGAAACACAGAACAGAGAGCTGACTCACGGTGCTTGATGGCACACCTCATAGACAGCGTGGCTTTGTGCCCTGACTTTGCCATGAGCCCTGGAGTCCTAGGGTGCAGGGGAGGTGCCCTTTGTGCTTCACGACTTTATGCCATTTAGTACACCAAGCACCACTCAGAATTCACATTGTCGCGGGAAGCGGGGAGGGGAGAATGGAGTTGTCCACAAACTTCTGCCGTGCTGCCACCATGCTCTTCTTTCCTGAATAGGCTGAAGATGAAGAGGGCTATAGGAAGCTGATCGACCAAAAGAAGGACAGGCGTTTAGCCTACCTTCTGCAGCAGACCGACGAGTACGTGGCCAATCTCACCAACCTGGTGTGGGAGCACAAGCAAGCCCAAGCAGCCAAAGAGAAGAAGAAGAGGAGGAGGAGGAAGAAGGTTCGTAATTCAGGGGGCAGTGGCTGGGTCCTGGGGGTCTGGCGAGAGTGCTGCTTGCTGTACTAGTGGAGGGTTTAGATTGTTTATTTGCAACAGTTGTATGAATGAGTGTGTCAGGAGCGTGTTGATGAAGTATAGTAGACGTGGTATTGCAGATAAGAATGTAATGGGTTGGATATCATAAACTGAAGCAATGCTGGCCCAGTTTCCACGTTTATTACCGTATTACATATTTGCTTAAGAAAGTTTAATGCCCTGGTGGCAGGAGACTGCTGAGTTAAGAAACTAAGGTGAAAATTAAGAAGGAAATAGAGTATTCAGGCTGAAAGAAGTGGAGGAAGATGGGCTCGATAGCTTTGGGATACTTTTGGAACAAATTTCAGCCTATTTGGACTGATGGCAGTGCCCGAATTGCTCATTCAGTTCTGCTGCCCTGGTGTAGCAGTGAGGTGAGCCTGCAGAGAAGAGATTTAGGTAATTACAGGACAAAAGCAGTCCTATGTAAAATAGACCTGAATTACCATGAGAAATGGCCATGGGTGAGATCCGAGCCTCTGTTCTGCAGATATTCCATCTCAATTCCAGAATAAGCCGCTGAGTGCAGACCTGGCCTGCAGATCCCCGGTGAAGCTTAAATAACCTGGTGAGCTAGTTCCTTGCTTGGTATTTTGTTTTCATGAAAAATTCTGATTAGGCCAGGCACCAGCATCAACAGCAAGACGTTGTCGGAACTTTGCAGATTGAGGCTTGGTAGCATTTAATCATTTATTCTCTGCACTGAATAATTGAACAAAATGTTTTTCAAAAAATAATTAATTTCATGGCTCCTGAATCCCCATACCTGTTTCATAATTAAGGAGGAGGAATGAATGATTGAGAAGGCACCTTCCTCTACCTGATTGCTTTAGCATAAGATAGCTTACCTTATTGTGAAGATGCGTGCGAGATGACTCAGGGCTTGCATTTAGACATCTCGTTGGTGAGGAATACCTCATTTTCTTGTCAATGCAGCGTTATAGACTTTGCAAAATCCCAGCTTCCCATTGCTGACTTAAAAAAGGATGTTTCGTGGAGTTGGTGAGGAGCAGCACATAGGCAAACAGAATTCTCGAATATTCCATAAGTGGACCTCAGCAAATGGTGGCGTTAGGCTTTCCTAATGCAGGGGTGCGTTTTGCAGAAGTTGTTGCTGTTAGTGTTTTACTGTTAAAAATCCACTACTAAAACATTGTGCCTTTCTCTGTGAATAAAAGCTAATGGCCCAGATTTGAGCTTCTGACTTACAATTAACAGACTCCTGCCAGGGCATTAGCTAGTTGTATCATCGTAGGCAAAGGAGGATGCAGTTGGGCACTGTACAAGGATGTTTTGGTCAACAACGGACAGCATCTCCGACAGTGGCTCCTGGAGATTATCGTGCAGGGAAAAACTCCCCTTGCCTGGTAACATCATAGATGTCATAAAAGTGTCCCAGTGCAACATGTCGCACCCCTGTTTGTGCTGAGGCTGGTGCACACGAGCCTGCATCACTGCAAGTGATGTAGCAAGAATGATTCTGTACAGTCTAGAGCACTTGGTCATGACCACAAATGACCGTGTTACTGGCTGACGTAGTTATTGTTCATATTATTTCAGAGTCTATTCCTTAGACTTATATAAAACAGTCTGCTGTAAAACAGCAGCAGTGTCATCCGTCTCATGTTGTGTGAGCTCTCCCCACGGTGTTCGTGTAACCATGAACCTGCACTTCTGGGAGTAGATCTCCAGTGTTCAGCGACACACGCCCGTATTGAGTGCTGACGATTCTTTGTGGATTTCCGTGTTAAATGCTACAAATTGTAGCACAGACCAGTCAGTATTGCCCATGGCACTGCCAACCTTATATGATCTTTAGCCTGGCTCTCCTCTTTCCACGCTGTTGCCTCCAGATGGGCTCATAACACTCATTTGTTTTGTTTTGTGCACTCTGCAGATGTTAACTGGACGCTTACTAGGAGCAAGGTAGTGTGTGCTCCCTGCTGGGAGAGGGAGGCTGCAGTGGCGTGAAAAAGCACTCCCACCTTCTCTCCCAGGTTAATCGGGTGGAAAAAAGAGACAGGAAGATTTTAACCCAACACGCCCCCAAATATGTACTTACAAACTGTGATGGCTTCTGCAAAGGAAGACTAGGGGTTGGTTTGGGGCTGGGGCCTGACTTCCTGGCAAACAGATAACAAGGAGATAACTGAGCATCTCCCCGGATTGTCTGGCACAGTCAGCGTGTGGAAGTGTTGCTGTATTACCAGCCGTCTCCTTCTTCCCTTGTGTGTTCCCAGCAGTGCTGGCCTCTGAGCACGCCCACCCTCCGCGGGCCTCAGAAGGTCAGACTCTGTTTGCCTCCTGGGCGGTCTTGTTGGGAGAGCTGGGATGAAGAAGGGGAAAAAACACACCGATGGAGACAGCAAGGCCCTTCCTGGCCCTTTCTGAAACCTCTCTCTGTTGTGGGGCTCTAGGACATAGATCAGAGCGAATTATCCAATTCCCAGTGCACCTTATCCAAGCGCAAAGGAAAGGGCAGCTTTCAGAAGTAGAGGGTTCCACCCTTTGGATTATCCCAGGTGCTTCTCCCCTCCATTAGAATGAGTGGCTGAGAGCCACTAGTTCTGGCATCTCTTTGTCCATCAACCTGCAAATGCTGGAATGTCTCTTTCAGCATTTTCCCATAGTGGTAAATACCAGGCTGTATCTATCCACATTTAACAAAAACCTTGTCTTGGGAGAACCTGTGTTACTTGGTGAGCTGGCATCATTAAGCTGCAGCAACACTTGAAGGACAACTAAGACACAAATAACTCTAAGAACTGTGCTATTTTTTAAAAAAGGATTTATTTGAAAGGCAGAGTGACAGAGACACAGAGAGATCTTCCTTCTGCTGGTTCAATCCCCAGAGGGATGCAACAGCAGGGGCTGGGCCAGGATTCAGGAACTCTTATCTGGGTACCCCACATGGGTGGCAGGGATCCAAGAACTTGGGCCATCACCCTCTGCCTTCCCAGCTGCATTAGCAAGGAGCTGAATTGGAAACAGAACAGCCAGGATTAGAACCTTGCTCTGGCACCTGGCTGTACTACAATGCCAGCAGTAAACTGTGCTATTAAAGATGAGTGGAGTTGGAACCAGTGCTGTGATGCTGTGGGTTAAACCACTGCCTGCATCCCGTGTTGGTGCCAGTTCCAGTCCTAGCTTCTCCACTTCCTACCCAGCTCCCTGCCAATGGCCTGGGAAAGCAGTGGAAGATGACCCAAGTGCTTGGGCCCTCACACCCATGTGGGAGACCAGGATGCAGCTCCTGGCTCCTGGCTTTGGCCTGGCCCAGCCCTGGCCATTGTGGCCATTTGGGGAGTGAACCAGTGAATGGAAGATATTCTCTCTCTCTCTCTCTCTCTCCCCCTCCCCCCCCTTCTTTCTCTTTGCCTCTCCCTCTCTCTCTGTGACTCTGCCTTTCAAATACATAAATAAATCTTAAAAAAAAAAAAGATAAATGTAGTTAACCTTGTAATTTAGTTGGGAAACAGTTACTTTTTTTTTTTTACTGATTATATAGTTGATTTTTTTTGTTTTGTTTGTTTAATATTGTTCTGTGTAATAGAGAAGAGATTTGCCTTCCTTGGGGGTTTATTGTGTTCACTTGTTGTTAGTGGATAGCAGAGTGAGTTCCTTTCAAGCTGTTGAGATGTTCTTTACTTTTCTCGCCATTAGGGCCTTTCTATGCATTTACAGATTACTTTGAAACTCTTTATTCTTGGCCTAGTCTTTTGCTAATGCCCTTGAAATGGAAGAAAAAGAAGTGAACTAAATGTTATCTACTTAAGTGACAGAACAGGCATAGTTTTTAAGATATGGAAACTCTGAATTGTGTGACACCCCTATCTGCCGCGCTGCAAGATGAGTGTGTTATTCTGTGCATTTAGGATGACCCTGGGGTCTCTGTTCCGAGCTGTGGCTGCTACTAACATCCACAGGGTGACTGTAGGGTAAAAAAGG